ATTACGCACCACTACGTTGTGACCACACCAATTAAAAATCAGTCTGTTTCGCAAATTTGGGAGAAGAGACAACTTTTTACTCTTGGTTGATTGGCTGTGCCCGCTCGGGTTTTAGTTCCGCAAATTATGATCTGAAATGAGGGATCTTAACCGAATGTAGACCTTCAACGTGAAACCTATCTTAATACGCTTAAAGTCCATCAACAGTTGGAGGGAAGTGGGCCGACAGAGCTCTAATAACCCTGGACTAGAACATCTAATCCGAGAGCCCCTACGGCCAGTGAGTACAACTCCCCCGTGGAAGACCCCCTGCAACCTCACAATCAACTCAAAACTTGCAGTGTCTACGACAAAGACAGATCCACCTAATATGCGACGTGAAGCAGCTCTCGAGACTGTAAGCCGATTGCCTAGGTCCGACCTCGATATCTTCACTGACGGCCATGCCACTGATGGCTACAGGTTATGTGGAGGAGGTTACTGGCATCTAGTCAAATCTTCTGGGGAGGAAACATGCGTATCCGTGCCCGCGGGACTATACGGAAGCAGCAACCGAGCTGAAACTACCGCCCTGCTCCGCGCACTGCAATGGCTCGAAAAACAACCACGTTTTCAAAGAATCCACATCTTCACAGACTCCCAGTCAGTTGTCCAACACTTAATGTCCGGAGTGACTGCAGTTCGTACTGAGATAGAGGACAAAAAGTGGACCACTATCTGCCAATGCTGTGAAATCCACGGACACCTTCACGTACAATGGATACCAGGACATTGCGACATCTACGGGAACGACCGAGCTGACGCCCTGGCCAACAAGGGAGGCCGCCTCGACCAGTCCAACACTCCAGTCGATGTTGCGTCAGCAAGCTCGTGCATCTCGCGTTACATCATTGCCCACGCATGGGAGAAAGCGCGAGTGCACGACTCCGTCCAGGGAAAGGTGAAGCCACCACCCGAGAGGGACAAAGAGAAAGACCTTACCGTCAGACAGAGAAGAGTGTTATCGCAGCTAAGATGCAATGCGAAGACCCCCATCCTGCAGACGTATCTCCATGCAATAGGCTCCGCTCCAAATGATTTCTGTCTGGCGTGTGGCACAAGTCCTGACGACCTGCAGCACGCACTGTATGAGTGCCCGTGGGGGGAAGCACATCGAGGCCCACTTATGGAGAACAACGCGGGACCGGGCCCGGATGTACTCTGGACGAGGCCACAAGAGGTTGCCGCTTACCTGTCTGCCTGCGGCAGACTGCCGCCCTCCTAACGGAGGCCAGCCAGTAGAAGAAGAAAAAAAACCTATCTTAACGGCAAAACAACCGAATCTCCCTGCTCCCCCCCCCCCTCTTTAATTACCTGTCCTGAGTAAATGTGTATAGCGGAAACCTGTCCAACGTGGAAATGGAAAGAAAAATCCGCTCCTTTCCAAGGATTTTACCTGTCTAAGACGGAAAATGCTTTACCGGCTCAGCACTGACTGATTTGAAACAAAACTCACAATTTGGGTTCCGTTGGCTCTGAACTTACGCCATGCATCAGGCGAGGAAAGGGGGTAGATGTCACCTCATCTATGTGAACCCTGAACGATACAGATGGTCAGGGTAGTGTGGGTGTGAAATCTCATGAGTGTCAGTGAAAGTGCTCAAGTAGCGAGCCACCATGGAAACTAATTTGCCTGCCACTATGATCATTTGGCCAGACAAGAAAAGAGTTATTCGAATCGTTGTTACATGGCAGCGAAGGGTGGCAGTGGTTGACTGTGCTTGTCACAACAATGAGTGGGTCTAAGGGTGGGAACAAAGGAGATGTCGAAATAATTCTGTCTTTAACAGGATAGCAAACAGTGGTCCTAAGAAATGCAAGCTCTGGTGGTGATTGGAAAGTAAGACTGACGCATGTCATTATCAGAGAGGATAGCAGCTGAGATATGAAGTTTTGACCATTGCTTGCCGATCGGACAAGCGACCCATGATCCCAACGCAGAGGCCTTTGAACCCCCCCCCTCCATCTCTCCCCAAAGTAAGTGCCAAAGATTAGAGGTAGAGAGTAACAAATACAAAAAAGAAGGAGGGAAGATAAAGATGATAGATGTTTGATAGAAAAGAAGAAGCAAACCGCACCAGATCACCCGCCAACCACCAACTTCGTATGTATCCTGTTAAAATGCATCACAGTTAAATTTTTAAAAGCATAAAAATACTGATGAGAATAGGGTCAGGGTGGACCCTCTGAATCTTGAATTTCTCGCCCTGATCAAAAGGAGTCAAATAGATCTATGTAAAATAGTAGGGGTTCTATAAAAAGTGAAGCAATGGCTAAAAAAAAATTGACATTTATAGATAGATCTAGAATCTACGGCCTAATGAGAACGCACTTTATTTTTTAAATAAAAAATGTTAAACAACAGTGACAGGGTCATAGCTCTGCTTTTACACTGTCGCTTTGCTTGTCGCAGTGACTACATGTTCAAGGCGCCGTGAATGTAGTTAGCAGTCTACGTTCACGGCACCCTGTATATGTAGTTTAGGTAGCAATTTAAGACTGATCTTGCTCACTCTCCCCGACCCCACTCCCCCACCCCTTTCCCTGTTCTTTTTTTCCCCCACTCCCACCCCTCTTCCCGGCTTGGCTTTCTTCCATTTTACCTTGTTTCTTCGAACTACTTTTAATTTCAAATTGTCGAGCGTTGCCAGGTCCGTACACAGGAAGAGGATCGAAGTTGTGTGCCCTGCGCTGAGCGAGCGAGGCCTTGTCGACCACAGCTGTTTTGCTGTGCCTGTAAATTTTAAACTCTGTTGCATTTGGACGACTGCTGCATTATTTTTCACTTAGAGTAGATTCTAGACTCTAGATCTATTTATTTTATTGCTGTGATATGGTGTTTCCTCATTAGCTTTGAGCAACCAATGTGAATGATTGTGTTTCAGTTACTACAAGAAGGCAGCGGATCTATTTATTGCACTGATCTAATCTAGATCTAGAGTAAAATTACCGGTTCGGTCAAAATTAGGACGAAAACAGGCACGTCGACTTTAAAGCTTTATATCTCCTATCTGCCTTGCCCTAGAGACAAATCGAAACCAGCTACAGGAAGCCCTGTGATTGGATGACCCCAGGAATGACCTGTTTCAGCTTGTTCTCATATTTGAGGCCCTTACTGGGTGCAAAAGCGATTTATTTACATGTTCAGTCACATTTTTTTGGTTTTCTCATGGATTCGGGCAGTATTTTGACATTCGGTCATTTTCAATTGTTATCACATTTGTTTCTTTGCAAGCTTAATAACATGATTTTTAATGTTTGTTATCAACACTTGGACACAATGATAGTTTGTCTAAAGTGGTATTCACCATTTATAGCTATTTTAATGAGTATGTATCTGACCCACTCTACTACGTGGTATCTGACTCTACTACACTGGCATCTGGCTCACTCAACTACACTGGTATCTGACTCTGCTACACTGATATCCGACTGTATTACACACTGGTATCTGACTCTATTACACTGGTGTCTGACTGAGTTAATATGCTGTATCTGACTCTATTATTATTTAAATTATGCACAAATTCTTTATTCTTTGTTATATAACCATTGGCTCTATATTATTTTATGTGCCCGAAGGATGAGAAACTACGGATTTTATGTTACAATCCGGGCACCCCCACTTTGGGCAAAACGGCGAGACTAAATGGCAAATTCTCGTTCATCCTTGACAGGGCCTCATAACTCTCCAGCCTTCAGAGTCTACCAAAACGTAGAATCTAGGTCACAGGCTCCTTCATCCACAACCAATGTTAACTCTTCCGGGGAAAGAGCTTCACGCTGTTTTGCTCAGTTGATGAAGAAAAAGCTGTCTTAAGGACTATATTTAGCAAAATATCGCCGTAACTGTTGTTTCAACGAAAGTAAGGGAGGTTGCTTTAGGTTTGTGTGCCACTCTTTTGGGGCTAGATTTGAAAACAATCTTTTTGTACTCCAGTGCCCGACAGCAAAAAAAAAACGTGCTGACCGAACCGGTACGAGTCGATTACTCTAGATCTAGATTAGATCTCGGCTAGATTCTACAGAGATATGATAATGATATTACATGGCGGACCCGGGGTGAGAATAGTGCAGGCAAGTCTTTTGGCTATTCTCACCCGGTGCGCGTTCACCGTTATAGCCTAGATCTAGGCCAACAAATCTTGCGTTCCCCCTAAACCACAGAATTCTACACTGTGATAACAGAAAAATTGTAGAATTCTGTGCCGTGAACAAACGTTCCATTACAACTGTAGCCTACTAAAAGCGTACAATTTTGTCTGTGGGCAGTGGAGAGAGAGAGAGAAAGAGAGAGAGGAGTAGCGCGAGAATTTCCGGGCAAAACAAAATGGCGACCCGCGTAGTTCGGCTCGATTCGAAAAGTTAAATAGCCGTAGCATCTTTGTAGACAACCAAATTAATTTACTTTTGTGTTTTAACATCATTTTAAAACTTTGTTTTGGTCAATTTGATCGTCCACACCGATAGACAGTATTCAGAAAGAGACAGGGAGAGAGAGAAGAGGGGAGGAGTTGATCTTGCGAGAACTTCCGGGCGGGTGAGAATAGCCACTTTCTTGATCTTGCGAGAACTTCCGGGCGGGTGAGAATAGCCACTTTCTTCTTTCATATAACATTGCCATAAATTCTGGATTGAAATTTTATGATTTGTTGACTAAAAACTAAGAAAGACTCTTGTGACTTGTCAAGAGAGCTAAAACTAAAACAATACAAAATAAAAATATGACACATCGAGTTCAGGTCCAGCAGTCCAGGTTCCTGTTGTTACTACTGTACTTCTCATTCTGTAATGTAGGCTACAGTGTAAGACTTCCTTCTGTTTCATCTTTCTAATCTAGACAGATCTACTTCTTTATCAGACGACCTCTACTCAAAGCAATTGAATACGGGTACTTAAGCAGATGCATGAATATTTTGAAAACACACTCAGTGGATGAAAAACAAAAGATGTAGATCTACCTTTCTTCGTAGCCCTTGGTGAAAACAACATTAGAGAGATGATGAGCAGATATCGATACCGGATATCTCATCATTTTTCTTGTCTTTCTCATATCGAATAGTATTTTGTCGGGAATCGAGTTTTACATCAATGTCTGATTTTTTTTTCTCGTTGAAAATATTTCAACTTCGTTTTGTCTTTTTCTTCCTTAGTTTATCTCCGTAAGCTTTTAGAGTTAAAAAAAGGTAAACAAAGAGGTGATCTTTTGTCGTCCTCAATTTCAAAGCAAAGTGCTCGGATTAAATTTCAAATTTCAAAAGAAGCTTTTCATTTTAAAAAAACAACAACTCTGGTTTTAGATAAAAAATGTAGGAGACTAAGAAAACATTAAAAGAGAGACTTGGCAGATTCTTAAAAGTCTGATTTTTGTCAAATTATATAACATTAATCGGGTACAAACAATGCGACCCAATGTGGTAATTGCAGATCAACATTTGTTGACCAGATCAGTTAAAACTAAGTTAGCCTAATGTGCCCATTACTGATGGGATCGGTTGGTCGGCTTGACTCACCGACTCAAAAACACTTGTTTTCAGGCGACCGAGAAGGGCGTATTGGGCATCCCGTAGCCAAGTCTAGACCTATAGGTCCTTGGCCTAAGCCTATACAACATGTATCCTTGCCTAAAGATAAAGACTACCTGTATCGACTTTTGTTTTTTTTAAAAGTAATTGCTCTAAAGATAAGATGGTATCGATTATTCTTCAAGATGCTCTGCTCAGTCTTAAACGGAAGTATAACATTATTCAATAATAGCTTCCGGGACACAAAGGGACCGGTGTTGACGTACATTTTCAGACCAAAATGAGTGGCTTGTCACTCTTTGCTCGTCGAATCTGTCTTTTCTCATGTATTTTTTTGGGAGAAAAATACAATCTTCTACAAAAGCTCCCATTTTTATTATTCGGAGGAAGCGCCATACTGGCAGAAAGAATGCATTTTTGTGTATTAATACATGTGTATGGACGTGGGAATGTGTGTGTGTGTGTGTGTGTGTGTGTGTGTGTGTGTGTGTGTGTC